TGGAGGAAGATAGTATTCTGATCACTAGTTTTTTATTTTTGCTTAACCTGTTATTTCTTAAGGTGGTCCTTGCTGTTTTTAAATTGTGAAATATTTCAGACATAGAATTTATATTGTAGTCAAACCCACATGTAATATACTAGTATTTGATACATTTATTCTCTATCTTTAAGCACTGTAAATGTGGCTAAAGCCCTTGTTTCATTTTCCTTTTTGCTCTTCAGATATAAACACTACTTTAAATATTTCCTTTAACTTGTTTGTTCAAGCTTATCATAAATTTTTTTACTAGATATATATATAGCAGTCCTCATGTATTTTCAACATTGACATAAATGAATCATCCTATATACTTCTCCATAATGTATTTAACTTATTTTTTAAAATTTGTCCATGTAAATATAGGTTTATTTTACAAATATATGTATACACACATATGTGTATGTTTAATTGCTGTATAGTATTATGAATAAATATACCATATTGGGTTCTTAAAATAATCCTAATAGATTAGTTTTATTTTTTGTAATTATAAACAGTAGGGGGAAATGAACATTCTTTTGCATGTCTCTTTGACAGTCTAGGTGGCAAATTCTTTCGAGTGTGTTCTGAAAATATAACTGCTAGATTAAATAAAAGTATCTTCAATGTAAATGGGCGTTGTCTCAGTTTTCCCTGTAGTGGTTGTACTGATTCACATGTCTACCAGTGATGAAGAATTTCTATAGCAAGAATCATATTCATGAGTCAGTTAGTCAGTGGACAGCTTAATTTGTGGTTTCCAGTGTCAAGATTACCTCATAGTCCCATTTGGCACCTGGAATTTGGTATTATGTCTTTTTTTTTCTTTTCTGTTTCTTTATGTCAAAATATATAGTTTTAACCATTTGTTCTGGTACCCTTTATCATATAATAGTATTTGTTGTGATAAATAAATTTGACAGGCTTTTCTTCTTTTTTTGTGATCTGTTCTCTTGCCGGTTTGGGGGAAGGAATTTTTTTTTTTTTTTTCCTATTCTGAAGAGATGAGAAATTCCTATAAAAGTTTTAAGATTTGCATTTCAGAAACATCCATTTGAGGGGACTAGGGAATAACCCAGTTGGAAAAGTGCTTGCCATACAAGCATGAGGACTTCAGTTTGAATCCCAGAACCCGTGTTGAAAACAAACAAAAAGGCTGGCTGTGGTGGTACATTCTGGTAATCCCAATACTGGGGAGACCAAGATAGGCAGATCCCTGTGACTTGCTGGTGAGCCAGTCTAGCATATTGGTTAGTCCCAGGTCATATGAGAGATCCTGTCTCAAACAACAAGACAGATGACACTTGAACAATATCGAAGGTTGACCTGGCCTGTACACCTGTGCACCCACATGAACGTGCACACAGACACACACATGCACACACTTCTTTTGAGGTTGCGTATTTATATGTGTGAATTCTGTATGGAAGGGCATTCACTCCATCCTTTGCTCACTCTTTGCTCAGTTACATCAGTCATGTAGGAAATTTCAATATGTGCACAACCTGTTCCACTGGGGCATATCTTTTCTTTGTGATGGCTTTATAAAATACTTTTTTTGTGTAGTAGGTCACACTGCCTTTTTTAAATTGTCTTGGCTACTTTTTGCTCTAATTTTCTATATAAGTTTCAGGGTCAGCTTGTTCAGATCCATGAACATTTTGACTAAAATTTTGTTGAGTGTCTGGGGTGGAGGGATTTGATGTATTTCTGATCTTGAGTCTTAAAATTTGTAAGTGTGGTCTGTGTCTCCATTTGTTTGAGTCATTAAGGCCTTTTAGCAACATTTTATAGTTGATTTTATAAGAATTTTATATGTTCCTATGCACCTTACGGTTTTAACTTCTTTGTAAATGGAGTCTGTAAATATTTTATTTTCTAATGTTACTGTTGAATTGTACATATGTTGTTGACATATGGATTTTATCCTCAGGAGCCTTTTGTTATCTTACTAGTTGAGTATTTCTTATCATTCACCTTTATTTCTTAGTAAATCCACATTCGGTAATTTCTTTTGTGTTTCAGACATTTGGTTGTTGCATCTTTGGTTTGCACTTGAAAGTAATGTTACTGTTACTACTTTTTTAGGTAGCTCACCCAGGTAGTTATCCTCTCTGTCTCTCCCCTCCCCTCCTTCATCTTTTCCTTCTTTAAATGTAGCTCATCACTGTTGTCTGTATTTACTTGTGGACAAAGGGAGCTGTCAGAGAGATGAGAACGCTGGTTCTTATCTTGTTTGGTTGTATGTCTTAGAAACTGCACAGACAGCCCTGGCTTGAGCTCATTGCATCTTCTGTCTCCTTCTCATCCTCAGCTGTTTCCTTCTTCTAGCATTCCCTCTTTTCCCATATCTTTCTTTCATTTTGTTTGCCTATTTTCCCATCACTTCTTTTTAGCATCGTTATTGTAGCTTGTGGTATCTGCCAGGCACTTGATTTTATATTTTACATATGTTAACTCACTTGACCTTTATTGCATAGTCGCTTGAGGGTAGTAGAGCTGTCTCATTTCATAGACGAGAAGGGAGGACCTTGGGCCCACAGAAACAGAAGGTAGGCGAGCCCAGACAGAGAGCCAGGTTGTCCAGGCTCTCAGCATAGGGGATCCTTCCACTGTCAGTGTTACTTACTTGTTAGTTTTGCTGTAAGTGTTCTATTTTTTTTTGAACCAATAGAAAACTGTAGAGAATGTATTGAGGAAAAAATTGTAGTAAATGGGAGAGCTGGTGTCTGAAGACTGAGGAAAAGAGGCACAGAGGAGAAAGGAAAGAGACTATCAGATGCACTTTACGAAAGTGATCTGTAGGTATTTAACAACCTACGTGTCCTAGTGAGTGGTCCTATTGTAAGAATGCCTTTGCTCAGTGTTCTTCATAGGTCTGTTCTTCATATTGTAAGCTCAATACGCTTGTGTTGTGAGGGTTAACTGAAGAAAAGACCCAGGGAAACTGGATTCTATTTATGGTTCAGTCACTAGCTAGTCATTTTCCCTTAAGAGGCATTAGCTTCGTATGTAATCAAGTCTGGATCAGGCTTGATCGGTAGGAGGTTATTGGTAGAAAACCTTTTCAAGCACAACTGTATTCATAAATGAGTAGCAGCAATTAATGCTGCTTGAGATGAATTGTGTCCTTATCCTGAAGGTGGTTTTGCTTTTGTAAGCCTCACAGCCCTTGTTCAAATGATGCAGACCTCTAGTTGTGTATCTGCTGATCCTCGCATTTTTCATGCCTTTCATGTCTACCAACTGTTTAATGTTCAAGAAGTGTAATTTTAGATAATCTCTTCAATATTGTACCATTCCCTTTAGTGAGATAGTTGAGTGTTTTCTAGTTTTTGTTTTTCCTTTCTGTAGTTTATGGAGAATCGAAGATGGTTTCCTTGTCATGGGATGATTCAAGTATCAACACATTTACAGTAGACTTCCCTTACGCACAGGAGGTGCATTCCAAGACATCCATCTTGGAGATCGTTGATATTGGCAGACTGTATGTTGTTTGTTTTCACACATGCATACTGGCAATAAAATTTAACTTACCAATTTGGCACATTAAGTGATTAAGAATACTAAATCATGGGGCTGGAGAAATGGCTAAGCAGTTAAGAGCATTGACTGTTAGAGATCCTGGGTTCGGTTCCCAGAACTACATGGCAGCTAGCAACTATCTGTAGTTCCAGTTCCAGGGGATCCAGTGCCCCTCTTCAGACTGCCCGTGGGCATTGCACAACACTCATGCAGGCACTTATACACATGCAGGCAATGCACTCATACACATAAAAACAAAATATTTTAAAGAATACTAGGCATAAAATAAAACAATTGTAATACTTAAGGACATTTGACCATAGCACTTTGATACTGGAACAATTGGTCTAATAACTGGAATGGTTACTAAATACCTAATAAGTGAGAATTATATAAAGTATGGATACACTGGATTAAAGGGATGACTCACATCAGTGGTGGGATGAAGTAGGATATCACAAGATATCATCAACCTGCTCAGAAGAGCACATCATTTGAAACTTATGAATTGTTTATTACGGGAACATTGCTTCTAATGTTATCAGATCACAGTGACTGCAGGTTACCACAGAGAGTAAAACTTTGCCCAAGCAGGGACTTCTGTATGTCCCTTATTTTTGATAAAAATTGCTTTCATGCTGATTTAATTAATGCCAATACTCATTTATTAAAGAAATGTTCATTTGGAGGAGATTACATTCCAATAAAAAAGGTGTAAGATAAACATAATAAATGAATAGTTGCACTGTATTAGAAGGTGATAAGGGTTGCTGGAACGGACAGGGTCAGGGAATGCTGAGTGAGACGACTGGACTGGCATTTTTATTAGAGTAGGGTTTACCAAGAAGACTTTTGAGCAAGGCTGCACTATTATGCTTTCCTACTTTCCTTTTCTTTCTAGTCTGAGAAGTTTTGTTAGTTTCTCAAGATAAATATATTATCTTTTTTTATTTGTCAATGAGAAAGGATGGTTTTCCATCTGTTTTCTTTGTGTGTTTAGTTATGACAATATTTGACATTTTTATCAAAGCATAAGTTTTAAGATTGTTCATGCCCATAACATTAAGAGTGAATGAAATTGGCTTTAAGTCACATAGTTTGTGTTTAAACCAGAGTAGGATTTTCTCCCCGGGACTTTGTTGTGCAATGCTGTGGAGGTCAGAAGAGGGCTTCAGATTCCCCTGGAACTGGAGTTAAGGATGGTTCGTAGCCGCCATGTGGGTGAGCTGGGACTTGAACCCGGGTCCTCTGCAAGAGCAGTCAGTGCTCTTAACCGCTGAGCCATCGCTCCAGCCCCTCCCCAGGACTTTTTAATAAAGAACCAACAATTATCACTACTTTGAAATTCAGAGAAAGGCCACTTCTTTCTTAATTGTTTTTGTTTTAAGTAAAGGCAAAGTGATAGTACTTAATGCTAAGACATGTGATAGTAAATGGTATTTATTGTTTTACAGGGTGACTGTTGGATCTGTATGGAACTCATGTCTACCTCGTTTGATAAGTTTTACAAATATGTATATAGTGTATTAGATGATGTTATTCCAGAAGAAATTTTAGGCAAAATCACTTTAGCAGTAAGTATTTGATTTTCAAACTGTTTGTTGTACATGTAATTATATAAAGAAGTTGGTAGTGCTTTTAAATGTGCTTTACAGATGGGTATTACTTTCCTAGGATCATTATCTGTGACAGGTTAAGAGACAGTCACTTAAGAAGAATACTTAGCCCAGGGTGTAGTGGTGCACGCCTTTAATCCCTGCACTCGGGAGGCAGAGGCAGGCAGATCTCTGTGAGTTCAAGGCCAGCTGGGGCTACAGGGAGACCCTGTCTCAAAAAGACCAAAAAAAAAACCAAAAACAAAACCAACCAAGGATACTTAGCATAGCACATCTGAAGAACACTTTTAAAAACATGGTAAAAAAAAAAATTAAAATAAAAAAGGGGGGTTGCTGGAGAGATGGCTCAGTGGTCACTGGTTGTCAAGAATACTGATTGTTCGCAGAAGACCCAAGGTTCAAATCCCAGCACCCCATGGCGGCTAACAACTGTCTGTAACTCCAGTTCCAGGGGATCCAACAGCCTCTTCTGCCCACCGCCGGCATTGTACGACATGGGTACACTTACCTACATGCAGGCAATACACATAAAAATAAAAATAAAAACTAAAAAAAAAAAATGGTATGTGAATATTAACAGTGTTCTTATTCACATCTCAACTGTAACAGGCTGTGATTTAAATAAGATAGAAATGCTATTTTATGTTCATTTCCCCTTTTAACTAGATTATATCCCTATACTTATCCCTAAGCTAGTCAGAATGACAGAAGTCTTTTTGAAGCCCTTTAATTGAAGCTCTTAGATAAGTATGTTTTCCTGTGGTTTAAGAGTGAAATTATCCAATCTAAACCATTTTAAATGTTGATAGCAATTTTAGTAGTCAGCAGTATGACCAAATTGATCAATTTATATTTAGGATGCCGAAAAGGAAAAGAGGTGCTCATTTGACTATGTTTAGTTCTAAAAGTAAGTTCATGGTCACTTTCTTTCCTGCTCTGAATATTTGATTTGAAAAATATTTACAATTTTTTTTCCAAAAGGAAAAGTTATTTTTCATAACTGAAAACTAATAAGACTTTTAGAACCTCTGGGAATATGAGCTGATGATATATGCCTGCTTAGTTGGTGTGTAAGCAGAATTATCAAGAGGTTGTGAGACACAGATACTGTGCTTACATGTGACTTCCTGTTTCTTCCTTCAGTCAGCTCTCTCCAGTTTTGTTCATCTGTCAGTTGCCAACCTATTATTACTAATCACTAATGCTAGTAAAACTGATTAAAAATATAATTTCTGAACTGTATTTTAGTTGTAAGAGATAAGTAGTATCTTTGTAGTTAATCTTAGGATAGGCTATTTTAAAATTGATAATTATGCTAATTTTTTTACTTTGCTAAGTTAATGATTAAATTTAAATGTTTTATGAGTTAGCTAACTTCTTAGATTTATACTCATATAATTTTATGAAATTAAATTGAGTTGAACCAGAAACTTACTCATTGTTCAGATAAATATAAAATCTTAACATTGATCAGTTTAGCCACTCCCATCCAGTATATCAAACCAGTATGGTCTTGGAACTTGCCATTATTCATAATATATTACAGTAAAATAATATTGTACAGTAGAATAGTACTGTGGCCCTGCACAACAATAGAATAATGATAGTAGTCAGTGGTGAGTGAATATTTATGTTGAGCCAGGATACCATGACATTAATTTTGTTGGTAACTTTGTTTCAAGTAGTGAGATCTCAGTTTTACAGATGATAAATCCTGAAGCATGGATTTGTTTTGTTATTTACATAAATTTGAATTGTTGATGGTTAAAGCCACTACAGCCTGATTGCATAACCCTGCTCTTAACCACTGCATAGCAGGATGGCCATGTAATTGGAGCTCAGATACAAAATTATTTTACCATGTATTCTAATATATACATTAATAAATTATTTAGTGTATGTTTACTTATGTTTCTAGACTTAGTGATCATCTTATATATTAGGACAGTGTTTAAAATTATTTTATGGGGTACTGGAGTGATAGCTCAATGTAAGAGCATAGGCTACTCCTGCAGAGGACTTGGGTTTGGTTCCCAGCACCCACTCAGGGCTAACAACCATGAGTAACTCTAGTTCCAGAGGATCCAAGGCTCTTTTCTGTCCTCTATGGGCATTACACGCACGTGGTACACTTAGGTACATGCAGATAAAACACTTAAACACATAAAATAAATTAATCAGTGAACACACAAGATAGATACTAATGCATTACAAGTTGGTATTTTCTACATTCCTCATACGAACAGCTTGACAGAGACTTGACTTTTATTCTTTTTCTTTTTTAAAAAATATTTTATTTATTCTATGTGTATGAGTGTATTGCCTGCATGTGTGTAAGGGTATCTGTGTCATGCATTGCCCGTGGAGGTTGGAAGAAGGCGTCAAATCCCCTGGAACTGGAGTTACAGATGGTTGTTAACTACCCTGTGGTGCTGGGAATCGAACCTGGGTCCTCTGCAAGAGCAGTCAGTGCTCTTAACCACTGAGCCATCTCTCCAACCCCTGACTTTCTTTTTTTAATAGCAAATTTGTTGGCCTGTTGTAAAGTCCCTCTTCCCATCCTTTTTAGAGAAACTTGATTTTCTAATCATGAGTAGTGATCTAATGACAGGATGAATTGTTGCACTGACTGAAAAGATATGCTGGCTCTGCAAAACTTACTTTTAAGCACTTCGTGCTAGCACCAATGAATGATTATAAGGAACTGAGAATTTGTGGAAATTATTGTCATTATTAATAATAGAACCACTCTCTTGGACTTTCTTATACTATTTTTATTATTGGAAAGGTTTGAGGTACAACTTTTTAGTGACTTGTTAAATAAATCATGTTACCGTTTTTTTTTTTTTTAAGTTGTTGCAGAGGCTTGTGCAAATGCAACTTCTTAGATGGAACATTTTATACCATCATCAGTTAAAAGAAAAAATTGACAGAATAGTGAAATGCTAACTTAAAATTTGTGCAAAGGGCTATGTAGGCTATTGTTTCTGATAAATTATGTTATTTTATTTAAAAAGATCTTTATCCTGTCTCTCCTTTTTCTCCTTAGACTGTGAAAGCACTAAACCACTTAAAAGAAAACTTGAAAATTATTCACAGAGGTGGGTATGAACTGCTTTCTGTGGGATAGGAATTGACTTTTTCTCCTTTAATTGGTTAAAAAAAATTTTTTAATGAAAATTTTTATGTCACTGTATAAACTTCCCTGAAATATTTGTGTTTGTAAGAAAAAAAAAAAAACCTAATTCTGTGTACTTAAAACTTCAAAAATTATATTTTGTGAAATCTAGAGAGTTACTCTTGCTAAGGACCCAGGGTTCTATTCCCAGCACCTACATGACAGCTCAAAACCACCTGTTAACTCCAGTTCCAGGGATTCTGTTGCTGTCTTCTGGCTCCTTGGGTACCATCATACACATGCACATTGTACACATACATACATGCCGGCAAAACACACATAAAATAAAATCTTTTTTAAAAATTACATTTTGCCAGCTGGAGAGATGGTTCAGCGGTTAAGAGCACTGACTGCTCTTGCAGAGGATCTGGGTTTGATTCCCAGCTCGCACATGGCAGCTACGAACCGTCCTTACTGTCAGTAACTCTAGTTCCAGGGGATCCGACACCCTCCTTCTGACCGCCACAGCATTGTACGACGTGGGTGCACTTACATACATGCAGACAATACAGTCATACACATAAAATAAAAATAATAAAATATTTTTTTAAAAATTATATTTTTCTACAGATTATTGATTTTTAGTTAATGCTGTTGCTAATGAAGCCTGTTTTGTACAATTAACATGTAGCAATATATTAATAAAAGGAAAATGTATAAATGAATAAAAGTAAATCATTCATTTGCCCAGTAGATAATTAATATTTCTTTGCATACAGGTAAGACATAAGGTGTTCCTGTGGACATTCAAAGAAGAATTAAAGGGGATAATGCCTTCAAGCCTTTGTTTTTTTCATTGCTAGACTTGACCTTGGGTTCTTGTGCATACTGGGCAGGCAGTGTAACTTAGCTACACTCTCAGCCCCTATACTCAAGCATTTTAAAGCCATGGTACTTTTCCTATGAAATGTTTCTTCATTTTAGAGAATGTTTTTGTAAAAAAGAATTTAAAATCAGCATCGTGAATTGGAGTGCCTCTAAATCATGCTGTATTTCTGAGGACATTGATTGGTATTAGTGACAACAGCAGCTTCCTGTGTTGCTTCTAGACCAGACAGTATTTTGAAGAGGAGGCCACTGTCTCTGCGGCTTTCTTAGCTCTGGGCACCTGTTTATGATGCGTTTATTTTTATGTCGCATTCATTAGAATTGTTTCCTGCTTTAAAACCAGCTACTTTCAAGGAGCATCAGATGTCCCCTGAAAGCTAAGACAAGCCAGCAGCCAAGTGTGAGGTTCTGCTGAAAAGGAGGGAGGAGGACACATACATACATACACACACACACACACACACACACACACACACACACACACATA